AGCGCACCCACAATCGAACGGCCAGGTAGAGGCCATTAACAAGATCATCAAGAAGACACTGAAGAAGAAGCTTGGGGCCGCAAAGGGAGCCTGGCCTGACTTGCTCCCAGAGGCGTTATGGGCCATCAACACCTCCTACCGACGGTCGACTGGCGAAACGCCGTTTTCCCTTGCCTTCGGTACCGAAGCTATTGTTCCCGTCGAAATCAACGCACTCACGTGCCGAACGACATCTTACATACCAGAGCAAAATAAGACACTACTTGCACTCAACCTGGACCTCATCGACAACACCGTTCCCTGGCTCAGCTTCGGAATGCTGCTTACAAGCAGAGGACCTCTCGCTACTACGACTCGCGTGTCAAACACCGATCGTTCAAAGTGGGGGACTGGGTTTTACGCAAAGTCTCTCTCGCCACCAAGGACTCCAACGAAGGCACCCTTGGCCCTTCATGGGAAGGCCCTTATAAGGTCGTCACCGTCTGTCGACCGGGAACATACCGATTGCGCGGTACCGATGGCCAAACCCTCGGCCACCCTTGGAACGTAGAACATTTGAAATATTACTATAAGTGACTGCGCCTTCGGTCATCACTTTTTGTCCAAATGACCACACCTTCGGTCATCACCTTTATAATCGGTTTATTTCAATACACTCCCTATTCTATACATACGGCATTACGATATAGCAATATTATATCGAGGATATTCTACATACGGCATGCACACATACAGGAATACGGAAGTTAGCAAATTAAACCAAAGTAAAGCACACTTAGATAAAAAGCCACAGAAGGGCCATCTGTCTTTACACACTGCCATTCGGCATGTTCAAAAAATATATATTTCCAAAATTTTGAATAAATTAAAAGCATGACTAAGGGGCAGGAGGTTCGACATCAGCAGTTGCATCTTCAGGCTCGGGATCGGCAGTCACAGGCTCGGCACTGGTCAAGGCCTCCACATTCGGCGCGCTGCTTGTGTTCGGTGCAGGATGGCTTTCTTCCTCCTCGCTACTGGACTCGGTGTCATCGGCTTCCTCAGGGTCGGCATCCTCACCCTTGTAAGCCTCCACCATCTCCTCGGTTACGCCCTCTGGCAGCAGTGGCGAATCCCAGAGGAAGTTCAGGTTCAGCTTCTTGTCCGCGTTGTACCGTTTGAATCGGTAGACAAAGTCGTCACATTGCTCCATGACTTCCTTGTCCACCAGAAGCGTGAACTCCTCCGACGCTCGGTAGTCAGCAACGGCCTTCGCCTTCGCCTCCTCTACCTCCTTGGCATGCGACCGTTCGGCAGCATCCATAGCCACATCCACAGCCGCCTTAGCTTCTTGCGTCGCGATCAGTTCCAACTCCGTAGCCGCAAGCTTGGACGCGAGCTCTACAATCTTCGCAGCGTTCTCCTCAGCACGTCGATCGGCTTCCTGGATGAGCTTCCCAGCATCGGCAATCTTCGAACGGCCCTCCTCAAATTTCTTCTGGTACCATTCGGCAGCATTGACGGCCCGCTTTGCGCAAAGCCATATCTCCATATCAGCCTGCAGAAACACCAAGTTCAGCAAATACCGAAACCACGGACACTTGGAAGTTACAACGGAAAGCAAAATCTCAATAACACTTACCGCTGCATGAAGCCGGAAGGCCCGATCGGTTTGTTCACGCAACGTCTTCGACGACAGTTGCTCAATCTCAGAAAGCTCCATCTCGGCGCCATCAATCATACAGTTGATGAACGGCACCGCCTTCCGAGGACACGCGATGTTAACCGGCCCCTCCTCCCCCTCCACTTCTTCATCAGGGATCAGCACCGACGTCCCCTCATTCGGACCCCTAGGCCGTTTCGGCAACGGCGTTGCATCGAGAGCACCCTCGATCATCCTCTTGCCTGTCACTTGGAGGTGGACCTCCCGAACGGCCTCAGCTTCGGCCACCCTCTTCTCCCGGCGGCGATCAGCCACCGTCATCTCATCCGCCGAAGCCCCTCCAGAAGCTCCTGCCGCCTTCTTCTTCTTCGGCCTAGGGGACTCGCCTTTCTTCTGCTTCGGCGCCCCTTGGCCCTCCAAGCGCCTCCTGGTCGCCTCGCTCATAGGCCTCCCACCTGTCACTGCATAAAAAACAAAAGTTAGGAAAGAAACGGTACCTCAAGAAACAGAAATATAACTGACTGTCGAACGGCATCACTTACTCTGCCTTTTCTCTTTTTCCTCTTCCTCATTTACCCTTCGGTCGTGTTCTGCTTTGCCGATCAAGCCTGCCTTGTAAAGGTTCCGGAAGTACAGCAAATCCTTGAAGAAACGATCTTCTTCGGC